CTTTTCTTTTCTTCTTTTCTTTTCTGGTTGGTCATGGGGTTTGTACTCTGGGCCTGGGCACTGCCCTTGAGCTCTTCAGCTTGAGCCACAGTGCTCACAGTTCTGGTGGTTAATTGGAGATAAGAGTCTCATGGACTTTTCTGCCTCGGCTGGCTTTGCACCTTGATCCTCAGATCTCAGCCTCCTGAGTAGCTAGGATTACAGGCGTGAGCCACTAGCACCTGGCTATAATTTATATTTCTATCAACAGTTTATGAAGGTGTAAAATTTGTGTCTTTGTTAAGATATATAAATAGTATCTAGCTATATCTGAATACTAGACTCACACATGATATATATTTATTTGTCTTGTGTCATTTCTGGGGCTGGGATTCAGGAACTCTTTTCTTGCACAGAATTTTTCCCTTACAGCTGGAACTTTGCCACGTAAGTGATGCCTCCAGTCCAGCTTTCTTGCTGTTTTATTGGAGATAGAGTCAGTCCATCAGACTTTTCTGTCTGGGGCTGTCTGTGAACTGTGATCTTCAAATCTGAGTTTGGCACGAGACAATGGTATCCAGCTATAATTTTCAAATATTTTCTCCCATTCCATAGGCTGCCTTTTCACTTTCTTGATAGCAACTTTTAACACAGGGACATTTTCCTTTTGACAGAGTCCACTGAATCTTTTGTTTTTTTTTTTTTTTGTGTGTACTTTTGGTGTCACATTAAGTTTTTTTTTTTTTTTAAAGCTATGGCTGGTGGGTGGTGGAATGTTGAGCTGATAATTTTTTTTAATATTTGGTTTTCAGTGTCTCAACTAATCCACCATTCCTTATAGGAGTCCAGGCATGATAAAGAAAAGATAGAAAAGAAAGAAAAACGGGACAGTTCAGGAGGAAAGGAAGAGAAGAAACAATATCCTTTTCATCTTAATATTAATTTCAATCAGTCTGAAGGAATGTTTGCCATATGAAGGAACCTTTATAATATGTGATATAAAATACTTAGGAGCTTATTAGCTTTAAAATTGTGTTTCCGGATCATTCTTTCAAGTATATGAAATCTAAAAAATGAGAAACTTGCTTTCTAGTTATGTATTTATGTATGTGCTTATGTATTCAATTTATTTTTGTGCCACTCCTGGGGCTTGAACTCAGGGGCCTGAGCATTGTCCCTGAGCTGTTTTTTGTACAAGGCTGGTATTCTACCACTTGAGGCTCAGCTCTACTTCATACTTTTGGCTTTTAATTGGAGCTAAGCATCTCATGGACTTGCTTGGCCAGACTGGCTTTGAACCACGATCCTCAGTTCTCAGCCTCTGGAGTAGCTATCAGCTACCAGTACATGGCATTATTTTCTTTTTAACTTACATAGTGACTGAGATATCTTATGCCACAAAAGAATTTATAGTCCCCAAGCCTGTAATGTCTACAAGAGGAAGAAAAGGAACATTGAGTCTCTTGGGCTGTGATAAGGTAAGTAAAAGGGTAAAAAATGATTTGATAAACCAGCAAAGACTGATGGAATTTGCGGCTCTCAGGCAAGTCAGGGCCAATTAGGACTGCAAAACAGAAGACTCTACTAAAAGCAGGACAGTATTCTTTCCTGTCCTAAAGTTGTTTTCCCTTAATTTGTCATCTACTCATAAGTCCTCGGACAAGCACAGATAATGAAGACTTTCAATCAAGGTGAGTCTTCTCTCACCTTTTCATTAAAAAACACAAAGTGAGGTCTAATAATGATGAAACATATAATTCAATCTGTTAATGTTGAAAAAAATTTCCAAGTTTCAGCTACTTGAATTTTTTACTATGTTTGTATAAAATGTATATTTAAGCTGTTTCACTTTAAGGATATTGACTGAAATAAGAACATCTGGCTTTCACTTCACTATTCATCTCCACCTTTTCTGAATAATTAATTACAGCTTAAAAGTACTATAGTTCTGTAAGGTTTGGTGGTGTCTACAATCACAAACTAAATCTGAGAGGTTAAGTTGAAGAAGCTTACAGAGGTTGTAGACAACAAATTTAGTCTTTAGCGTTCTCTGTTCTTTTTGCCTTTCCATGCAGGTATGTTATCTAAGTACTTTTGTGTATGTTTCTGGACTTTTTTTCCCTTTTGCTATTGCCCTTGTTTTGCAAAGCCAGAAAGAAAGGCTATGCTTTTAGTACTAGAATTTAAATATGCAACTTAGTTTTCAAGATAATATAGTCCTGGCTTATGACATATGTGTTATAGCCATCTTAAATAATTCCCATGTCCATTTTAGTGGAAAGGGTATTTGGATCCAAAGATAGCTTTTGAACACTTAAGGTCAATGACTGAATAGTCTTGTTTGTTTTGTGATTTTGGATTTTTTTTTCCTCCAGAGTTTTATTGAGGTATATTGGATAAATGAGAATGTTATATTTGAATAGTTTCTGTTGGTGATGCTTTAAGTTTCTTTAAGAAAGTTGGGATGATTTGCCCTGTATGTTATTGGTTCTATTTGAAGTTTTTGACTCTGCTTTTTTTTTTTTGTCTGAGACCTGGACTCCAACTCAATATCTGATGCTTTAGCTCATTGGCTTACACTCTGCCACCTGAGCCAAACCTCCAATCCCTTGATTCTGATTTTTTTGGCCAGTGCTAGGGCTAGAACTCAGGGTCTGTGTGCTGTCTCTGAGCTTCTTTGTGCTCAAGGTTAGTGTTCTACCACTTGATCCATGATGCCACTTCTGTGACTGTGCCTTTTTGTGTGTGACTCTGCTTTTTATAGCTCATTTTCTTCTGTTTTTATTGTCACTTCTTAATGATATTAAGTGTGCACTTAATATTATTAGCTACTCCTAATCTTTTAAGAAAATATACTTAAGGCTATTAATAATTTAAAAAAAAAATTTTTTGGGTCTGGTTGTGGGGCCTGAACTCTGGGCCTGAGCGCTGTCCCTCAGCTCTTCAGCTCAAGGCTAGTGCTCTACCACTTCAGCCACAGCGCCACTTCTGGGTTTTTTCTTTTTGCTTATGTGGTGCTGAGGAATCGAACCCAGGGCCTCAGGCATGCAAGGCAAGCACTCTACCACTGAGCCAACTTCCCAGCCTCTATTATTAATAATTTTTTAAAGTAAAAGAAATTCCTGAAAGCAAGAGAAGTTTGTAAGGAGATTCTAAGGAGCAAAATAAACATGACAGAATGTTGAGGTTGCCAGTTAGGTGAGGTATGCCTTCTCTGCTTTGTTATTCAGAAGTTATCTAAGTTGTAGAGTGGGATAAACAACAATTATGAAAAACCATTTAGAATATAACTTTTTTTTAGTTAGATTATTAAAAAATCTTCAATTCTAGTTCTCCACCTATTGTTTTTCTATGGTGGACTCATTCGTTATTCATTTTTAAATTCCTCATTTTACTTCCACGTATTGTCTATTACAAAAAAGTTCTCAGATTTTTATTAGGAATGGCCAACCATAGTTAATATTCTCTTTCACTGTGATTTTTATATATCTGTCTTTACTTAGTACCTCAGTTCATTTTTTTTAAGTTGGTTATGGGGCTTGAGCTCAGGGCCTGGGCTGTCCATGAGCTTTTCTAACACTTTATCTTTGTACCACAGCTCCGTTTCCATTTTTCTGGTGTTTAGTTGGAGATAAAAGTCTTACAGACTTTCCTGCCTTGTCTGGCTTTGAACCACCATCCTCAGATTTCAGCCTCCTGAGTAGCTAGGATTATAGGTGTGAGCCACTGGTGCCAAACTTTATGTGAAAATTTTGCTACATTTTTGAATTTATGCTTCTCTCCGTAAGCCTGAATAGTAATCTCTCTCTTTTTTTTTTTTCCAAGTATCAAAGAACTGGCCAGAGCTGTTTGTTTGGCTGGTGGTCTTGCAGTAAAACTTTTAAATTCACTTATCTTGTTCCTTCCAAGATGGCCCTTTTGAAGATATGTTTAGCTTAATTTTTACCTTAATTTGATTTAATGCTTAGTTAGTAACAACTATGTGCTGTATTTTTAGGCAGATTATTCTGTGAAGCTTTAGTTGACTTTTTTCCCTGGCTGTCTTCTGTTTATTTTCTAGCTGCCTCTTTGTATTTAAATTTATTCTGGAGTTGTTTTTGTCTTTGTACTTTCCTTTCTTTCAGAGTGCTCACTTTTTCTGATTGGTATTAACTACCTATAGACTGCTTCTAAATGTACTGCCCATGCTTCCCCTTTTAGCTTATTTTCTATTCTATAGAAAGGAGAACTGCTAACATAAGTTATATTTAGCATGATTAAAAGAATGTCATAAACTGGGCAATAGTGGCTCGTGCCTATAATACTAGCTACTCAGGAGGCTGAGATCTAAGGATCATGCTTTGAAACCAGCCTGGGCAGGAAAGTCATGAGGCTTTTAGCTCCAATTAACTACCAAAGAGCCACTAGCCTTGAGCAAAAAAGTTCAGGCCTCCCAGTACTGGCACACAAACATTAAAAAGATCATCATAAATTTTTATAATTTTATGTTTGATTTGTAGAATAGTGGTTTTAGGGAGACTATATATAAACAAATGGCACTTACATATATCCTGATTTTACAATCATTAAAAGGATCACAATAGGGCTGGAGGCATGACTAACTGGCAAGTGCAGAGCTCTGAGTTCAACCCCTAGTAAGCACCAAAATAATGAAAAAGATCACCCTAGAATTAAGAAAATTCTGTTTATAAATATGACTCAGATCAAAGTCCTTTAAAGTCTGTATTCTTGTTCTGTCTCCTGTTTTTAGTTGCACATTGTTTCTGCTTATTTTCTGCATCTTGTCACCTGTGGAGTCTATGTAAATTTATCTTTTCTTTTCTTGAACATTATTAGCTGATTGAACATTATTAGCTTTTATTTTATTTAATCTTTAAAATGTCCTGCTCATTCCAATTTTTATCTAAGAACCGTCCATCCTTTGCTTCCTCAATTTTTATTTTCTATTTCCATCTCTAACCTCAAGATACAAACTCTTATCCTTTAAACTAAGGTTGTAAATTCTCATTCCTTGGGTAAAACTGTAATTCGTTATGTGTACATTCTTGGATGATAAAAAGTGTTCATTAAAAAAATTGATTGCCTCTAACAGAAGAATTGATAAATGCAGTTCTCTTGAAGAACTGGAACATCTGGCAACATTATGTCTTGATTTCTGTATAGTAACAGTCAAACCTGCCTGTGTTGTTCCTCTAGAACAAGGGCCATCCTTACCCACAAAAGTATTTACCTCTGGGGGCTGGGAAGGTGGCTTAGTGGTACAGCGTTTGCCTTGCATGCCTGAGGCCCTGGGTTCGATTCCTCAGCACCACATAAGCAAAAAGAAAAAAGCTGGAAGTGGTGCTGTGGCTCAAGAGGTAGAGCGTAGCCTTGAGCTGAAGAGCTGAGGGACAGCGCCCAGGCCCAGAGTTCAGGCCTCACGACCGGACCCCCCCCCCCAAAAAAAAGTATTTACCTCTGTCAGTCTCTATTTAATTACTTCATTTGTTTCTCTTGTACTCTTAGTTCCTATAGTCAATTGATTTTGTTATTCTAAAACAAAATTGTTTTGCCTCCCTTCAGCCCATAATGAGAAATTGACCTTCATTTCATATTCCTGGTATTACAAAACCATTTCCACTCTGAGACCTATTTTTGATGGGATAGAGTGTTTGACTGAATGTATTCCTCATTAGCTAGTCTTTTTTGGGGGGGCGGGGTTCAGGTGTGGGGCCTGACCTTAGGGCTTAGTTGCTGTCCCTGAACCCTTTTGTTCAAGAGTAGCTCTCTACCACTTTGAGCCACTCAGTAGTTCTACTTTTCTGGTGAACTGGAGATGAGTTTCAGATACTTTTCCTGCCTGGGCTAACATTGAATCGCAATCCTCAGATCTCAGTCTCTTGAGTAGCTAGGATTACAGCCAAGAGCCGCCAGCACTCAAGGAAGCTATTGTTAGGAGATTAAAAGGGTAGACAAGCTATTTTAATAGATTTTTTATTATAAAAATAGTGTACAGAGGGGTTACAGTTACATGAGTAAGGTAATGAGTACATTTCCTATTGAGCATTGTTACCCCCTCCTTTGTTTTTCCTCTACCATTCCTTCCCTCCCCACTTCCCCAACTCTTCCCCCCCCCCCACCAGTTGTAAAGTTCGTTGTTTTCAACATAGTGTCTTGTACATCTCATTGTTACAATGGGTCAACCTGTATCCCTATTTAAGCATTTTGTTTTTTCTCTTCCCCTCCCCAAATTAGAAAAGTGTATATATAAGACGCAGGACACTGGAATCAAATCAGTGAAAACGGGTTATATCATGGGGGAAGAACAAACAAAAGGAACAAAAAAAATCGCACGGTACATTATAAGTACTTTAAAAACAATAGCAAGGAAAAAAACAATAGGAAAGAAAAAAACCCAACTGTGTCCCTGTCTTGGGGTTCATTTTGCTTAATATCATCTTATATGGTCATATGTACATAGCTTTTGAACTTTTCTGCTTATCCTAGACATATACTAGTTATTGCAAATAAGGGAAACCATGGGACCTATGTTTCTTTTCTTTTTTGTTTTTTGTTTTTGGGTCCGGTCATGGGGCCTGAACTCTGGGCCTGGGCGATGTCTCTGAGCTCTTCAGCTCAAGGCTAGCGCTCTACCACTTGAGCCACAGTGCCACTTCCTGCTTTTTTCTTTTTGCTTATGTGGTGTTGAGGA